TATACCACAATATGCAACGTGAAAAGCTCTACAATTTACGCAGAACAGTTTATTGAAATAAGAAGAAAGGAATTTTTCATTGGTGTAGAAAAATGATCCTTTCGCAGTGTCGAAAATTGATCGCACAGGGTGTGGGTGTGGGTGGGTGTGGGTGTGGGTGTGGGGTGTGGGTGTGGGGTGTGGGCGTGGGTGTGGGTACCTTTGTGGTTTATGAAATATCCACACCCACACCCGCACCCCACACCCACCCGCCCACACCCACACCCACACCCACACACCCACACCCACCCATACCCACACCCACACCCTACTTGTTATCAAAATGTGTTTACCAAATAGTGCTCATGTTCATATGAATTATAGACTAATGAACAAGAGTTACGTATTTTTTTGCAATAGATCAAGATGTTTTGAACGCTTAAAAGACTTTTTCTAATGCAAAAATATTTTGCTTATTATCAACTATTATGTAAATAAAGTTGTTTTCTACAGAATGAATGTATTAAAGTAGAGAAGAAAGTTTGTGTGGCTATGGGTGTGAGCTGTGAATGTACGTAGAGTCTGGGTGTGGATGAAAACAGACTCGCACTCACATTCAAATCCTATACAGTCAATGAAGCTAAAATAAAAGGCAAGGTGTCACTAGAAAACATGGTTTTCTTTTTGATTTCTAAAGGAAGTGATCTACGTAATACTCGAGTTATTCTCCAGCACATAAATACAAGGTAAGACAAAGATATATAGGATGATAGAGAATTTCAAATTCCATCAGAATATATAATAACTTTTTTAAAAGATAACTTGATAGTGATAGAAAATTTTAAAAAATCTGTTTTTGATGACAGTGACAGATACAAGTTTGTGGAAATCCTGTGATAAGAGTGCTTTCATTGTACTCGGTCTATTTTGATAGTACATAAGTGTAATCTAAAACATGAATACACAGAGTATGTAGGGTCTGTGTGAAGAGAATATGAACACCAAGAGCTATACCCACACCCTACATCCTATTTCAATAATGTAAAATCACATTAATTGCACCACATGGTCTCCATTAATCTTAGTCAACATGTATGAGTTTCATCATTTTTCTGTACTTATTGGCCGTGCTTGAACAAATAAAAGAGTGGATGATAAGAAGCAGATGGTATAAGAAAAAACAAATTATTCTCTAGCCTAGTCTACATATGAAAAGAATTTTCATTAAAACAAAGTCGAAAATTAAACTAAAGTGAATTCTCTTATTATTTTCTTCTTCATAAAAGTCTCAATAGCTATCAGTGAAGCAAATCACAAACAGTAAACGCATGTAAACTAATTTAATGTCATTCTTCGTATGACATGCTCGTCGAATACCAGCTTGACCTAAATCGAGAAAAACAAACTAAACTAAAATAATTTATTCTATTTCTGTTCTAAGGTTCAGGAAAAGTATCGTTGAAATTAATAGAGTAAAGCAGAATTAATTTATTCGGTTCATTTCAATATGATACTCGACAACTCTCAAAATAATTAAATGAAGAAAAAAAAAGTAAAGTTAATTGTCTAATTAAATTTCCATTATAAAGTTCGCCAGATCTTTTTGGGGGGATAATTGAACAAAGACAACAAAAACAGAACTACCCTTTCCGTTTTTCTCAGAACAAACGAACAAAGTATGAACATATATGTCAGAAAAAAAGGCATGAGGCTAAATTAAGTTATTTGATTTCTTTTTATAAAATGCACGATCATTTTCAAGATGACTAAACAATAAAAGAGAAAAAATAAAGAAAACTAACTGTTTAAGTTTTTCTTAGAAAATGACGAGCAATACTCGGAATAACATAGTGAACTAAAGAAAGAAAGGCACTTCTTTCATTCTGTTGTTTTTCTAAAATCTCCGGCAACTATCGGAATATTACGATTGAATTGGTTAAATAAAAGCGCTATGATGTATCAGGAGAACTACGTAGATAAAAAAAATTCCGTAAGCAAATATTATGTTTTTCTTCGAAAGTGATGAACAAATACTCGAAATAATGGCATGGATGAAAAAAAGGAAACTGTTTTCCTACTCCATTACTGTTGGGAAACCTATAGATGGCGGCTTAGCATTAGTATTATAAAAACACTAACATCATATTATCTTGAAAAAGAGTGTATACGTAGGATGAGTTTTTAGTTTTTTATTCATAAGTGATATTTTATATAGCAATATATAAAATATTTCTTCATTATATTATATGTATGCATAGTTAAATTGAGGTCAAAACTGATTCAACTGACATTCGGTTGTTAACATTGATTTATAGAATTGTGAAGTATTGTGCAAAACTTATGAACGCAACAAAGAAAATCTTAAACTTTTAATGACAGTATGGCTGTGGGTTTAGCTGTTGGAGTTGATCAAAAGAAGATCTGAACCCACACCCATCCACGCCCCACGCCCACACCCAACTTCATCTACCTATGACAAAAACATTTAGACGACGAATAGAGAACGAAAAAAAAAACAAATTAAAAAAAAAGAAACAACACTTAAGAAAAACAATTCGTATTAACTTGTTTAGTGTGACAGACTGAACTTTTTCTTCTTCTTTTTTGTACCTGCTTCTCTCAATATTCGTCGAACTCCTTCAGACAAATGACAATATTGTACAGATAGTACTTGTAATGTTCGATTTTGGTGAAGTATTTGAAGTAGAGCTTCCATTGAATCATCAGTAATAAATTCATTAAAAGATAAATAAAGTTTTTCGAGAGGTGGACAAGTTGAATCAGCATCAACATCACATAGTAAATCGGCTAATAAACGAACACTACGATCAGTCATACCCGTATTGGATAACGCCAGAAAAGTGATCGATCGACTTTTTTTAAATAAATTTACTAAATATTCAATTCCTTGATCTCCAACATTTGAATTATTCGAAAGATTGAGATATTTTAATTTAACTCGTGTTTCGGTCAATGCATCGACAAACATTTTCACACCGACCGATGTCAAATTATTATCACGTAAGATAAATCCAGTACATTTTGTTTTCCGTTTTCCAAAAACTTTCTCAATAACCAATGACATATCATTATCGGTTATATTCATTGACGAAAGATTCATAACACCCATAATATCTAAATCACGGTTGTCTGCCAACTTCTCTTCTAAACTTACTGGTTTTTTAATTTGCTCTTCTGATGAATTTAGCTGTTGTTTGCTTTTTCGCTTTATATTCTCTTCTCTTTCTTTGTTCTTTCGATAATTATCAACTTTGCTTTTTTCAACACTTGGATTAATCTCATTTTGGTCGATCTTTGAAAAAAATAAGAGAGTAGAATCATCAACATAATAAGATTCTCAAAGCTTTTAAAAATCGACGTGTTCCTGTGGACTTTTTATACATGATAAAAAAATTGGCATGAAAGATTTTGTTGATTTACCAATGAGAACATGAATTTCGATCTCTGTTTACTCAAATTTTTTGCATAGAAAAATCAAACAAGAAAGTTCAACAATGAGAAAATAATATGTTTCTCTTATCTTTTCATGCTATGCCAAAGATTAAAATTCTGAAGTTTTTAACCCAGTGGTGAATCATAAGCAGAATTTTCGGATTTGCAAAAGACAAATTTTACAGTAATTTCTGACAGGAACTCAGTTTTTAAATACTAATTACTATTTTTCTGGTAGAAAATAAAAGAAAAACACTGTCTGTTAATAAAATCTCTCAGAAAGTCGATAAATTTAGCGTTTATTGTTCAGTTTCTGCCCAGATTTTTAGTCCCTTCTACTTTTCAACACAATCTTCCTGGGTATGTGACGCTGTTGATTTACATAATAAGAAATGCTCAAAATCTTCAGCAAATTTCTATTATCAAACTAAGAACAATTACCATCAATTTTTAGACGATTTTCTTGTGTACTCTTCCATAGGAAATGCACTTCAGAATGAAGGATGAAAAATCAATTGGTTTTCGATCCCGGTCAATTTTTTTCATTTTTACTGATTTCGGTTGTTATTTAAGTTTTTATTATTTTTTGATTTGATTTTGTTGCCAATAAAACAGGCAATTTCTTTCCAAGATTCTGTATGTAACTTCGAATACATGTACTATGAACATTACTTTATGCACATGTATCAGAATTATAGTTTTGCAAAATTAGTTTTTATTGTGCCACTGAAAAACTTTCTTTTCAGAACTACGAGTTTTGAGATATTTTTTCACCTAAACTAGTCGTAAATAAAAAAAATTCTTTTTCTAAATCATTTGTTTTAATCTATAGATATATAAGATTGTAATATTCATAAGTCGAAATTATTTATGGAGATTTGACATAAATTCGAAAAATAAAACAGATGGCAACAACAACGATTTGACTTTAAAAGAGATCGGAACAAAATAACAGTGATTTTGGAAATCCCTAATTAATAGACGTAGTCATCAAACAATTTGTTACAGGATTAAGCTTTAATTTTGTCGAATTCCTACATAGTTATAATGTTTTTTTTGCTAGTATTGAGACGAGTAGAATCAGAACATGGAGCAGTTGGTAATAGAAATAGAAAAAAGAAATAAGGAAGCGTCTATAATGAATGGAATACTTCGATAGCTATTAAACCAAAATTATATCCATCCTATCAATTCGCTTATTTGAAAATCGATTCATATTATTGAAAACTTCTAATTCTTGAAATCAAAATGAGAATCTGTGAAAGAATTTCATCAGAATTTTGACTACAAATACTTGATTTGTATATTCTAAGTCACAATACAAAGATTTTATCTAGTTCTTGATGAAAAGTTAAACCAAGACCAACTTGAAAGATTAAAAGTCCTGGTTTCAATGAAATTTATTTTTTGGTTCCGGAACTGGAATCACTTTGCAAATGCCTAATATATATATGAACTACTCGAAAAAAGAAAATATGAAATGATTCTACCTCCAATTGTAGAGCACATTCTGCGACTTCAGGATGATCATTATTGTGTTCAATTTTCGCCTCGTCGCATGTTGATAAAGAACGATGATGATTGAATTTAAAATTGTATGGTTTCAAGAATTTCAATGCTTCGGTCCTTTCTTGATTTGTTCTTGCTAATGCTAGACGATATTTCCATGTCCTAGTTAAGAAATTAAAAACATAATTATATCTATTTAGTATTTTTGTTATAATTGGTTCAGATTGTTAGAATGTTATTCACACGAAATTCAATAAATCCCGTGAAATCGATTTAGAATTTTAACTTTTTTCTCTCTATAACAAATAGTTTACAAGACAATTTTAGGCCGAAAAAAAAGTGAGGCCTAGATAAAAAGATCGGATAAACAATTATTATTAAATAGATGTCGGCGATTGCTAACAATTTTCTAGTATGTCAACTAGCGAAAGCAATTTTTAGGAACTTTCGATATGAAGAGAACTCTATTAGAAAAGACTTGTACGTTAATTGCATAACAATATTTTGACACAAGTAAGATTTTCGTGAAATTATCGACAAAATTGATATTCAATAATTAATTTCTAATAAAATTTCAGGTAGGTTTTACAGATAAATAGGACGAATGAGACAATAATGAGTTTATTTGGCCGATTACTTTGACATAATCTGCTAATTATCAGGACATTGTTCTAACCTTGACAAGAATTTGTCTACTCACCTTGTGATATTCTATAATCGATTAACAAAATGAAGAATGTTATTTCTAAGAAGTAATCTGTAGAATGACTAGTTTTTTTTTTTACATTTGACTTCTACCATCAGATTAACAAAGCTTTTTTTCAAAACGAGAATCTAAAAAGATGGCTCATAAAGAACGAAAGCCAGACTAAATATTTTTCAAAAGATTTTGCTATTTAATTCACTACATAAACATATTCAGATGTATATCATAGAGATAGAAGTAAGCAATATAGTTCCCATAGTAATACTCTAGACATCGAACATCAACAAATTTCAAACGAAAACTACATTTGTTCTCTATTTATGTATCTTCATGTTAAACTATTTTATATAAGATAGAAGGGCTAAATAAACATCATTGATGTGAAAAACAAAAATGCATTTTTTTCTTAAATTGCAGCAAAATTAACAGTAATTTTATGCAATAAAATTTCGTAAACATATTACTAAGATAGAGCTTTCGAAGCTCTACAAAATGCGTATAAAATATTATCTATATACGTTGATGCGGGAAATTATAAATACAAGAGAAATGTATTTTGCATTTGAAAATCATTGATATTTCATGCTCATGGTGTTACTATAAGAATTTTTCTTGCTATGAGTTATATCTATGAGAATTTTGTAGAGAATCAAATGTTGAATCTTTCCAGAAAAAAACTTCAGTCTGAATCCATAAAAGCAAGGGGAGATATCGAGAATATATGATAATTCTCATTCATTATGGTTCAACCGGTAATTTAGATTCAAAGTACTTATCTACTGAAACACAAATAACAATCGATATGTTCTATTAACAACAGCAACAGTACTTTGAACTATTGAGCAAAATATTATCAAGAGAATATCAGATGAATTCAAGCAATGAAACAGTTAAAAAATAGAGAATTCATTTATCGATTAGTCTAGATTAGATCTTATTTCATTACTATCAAAATAAAATTAAAAACTTCTATCAATATAATTCAAAACCTTGACTATTTATTTTAATAATCATTTTATTTATCCAATCGTAATAAGTAATTAAATGAATTTTTTTTGCCTGGTATATATATCTAGACATTGATAGAAATCTCAGCATTCGTTATCATCAATATTGAGCATAAATTCTTTATACTTACTTCCAAAGTGATTCGGCATTTTTCTGTTGATTAAAAGAATCTACTTGATTTGAAAAAGGATCACTGAAATGAGAAAAATGTTCATCTTCAGAAAGATTTTATTTACAAAAGTGGAATACTATATTCAGAATTCTCAATCTTTAAGAAAAAGATGATCAGTATTTTTACCTGGTTTTTGTCTCTTCATTAAATTGAAAAGACACCATTGATACTCGTCTTGATTGTTGCCCGTTTTTTTGCTCAAGAAATAAATTAATATTTCGATCGGCTTCAGAAACAATCGGTGTTTCTCGAACAAGATGACTTGACGTATGTGAATCTTTAAGAGGTTTCATATCTGTAGTTTATCACTGCTATTATGCCACGAATACTTTCTTAAATGAACTTGTCTTGCGTCGTCTAGGGAAAAACAACAATTAATGACTTTCTTCTCCATAGCGTGACTTTCAAGCAGTTTACAGACAATCATTAGACTTTGGTCGGCTTTCTATAACTCATAAATTGTGAAAGTCGATAACAATAGTCAACAAAGGAATTAAATCTGAGTAATTCTCAATATGAAGTCAGAATGTTCTCGAAAGAATAAATCATTCCTAAAGTTTGACTTGTCTGACATAGAATCTACACTAAAATTTGAAGTTTCCATAACTTTTTCACCTTTAATATGTTAAGTTGAAATTTCCTAAAAGATTATAATTTCTTTTCGATGATAATCAATCATCGGAGAAATAAACTGTTTTATTAAAATGCAAAAAACCTTATGCCGATCATCCGAGAACTCTTTCGATAATACTCAAATAAACGCATCCAAAGTCATCTTTTTTTCGTTAAGCAATGATCTCAAAAGCGGTATATAGTCTAATATCTCTTTGAAATATAATTTGAGAAATTAAAATTTCCATATTCTCGTCAATCTAATTCTTTTTCTCTGTAATATTTTTTCTTGTTGGACTGATGAACATCGAACATCATCTGTAACATGTGAATAATTCTGATTTGAAAGAGATTTTTTCTTTCTACTGTATTCTAATTCATGATATATAGAGGAACGAGGATTTCAGATCATCCTCAATCTTCGAAAATTTCTATAATTTTTATTGTTTTTAAAGAAAAAAGAAAGAATTTTAAAAAAATAATCGTTGATCTTCCCCAAGACTTTCTTATTTCGGAACACACCCAAACATAACAATTCATATTCGCATTTTAATACATTTTTGTACAATTTTCAAAACAAAATAGAAGTCCTGTAAACTTTTATTCTGGAGGAAGATTTATCTGTATATCATCCTTCCTTCGTCCAAAATAAAATTTTGGTATCATAAAT